CATGTTGAAGTGATTGCCTCCTTTATCCTTTTTCAGTTGTTCTCTATGGAACCTGTTACTGAAGTCTATCTTGGATTCGTTGAGTCAGTCAGCATCTCGAACAAAAGCCGTATTAAACTTTTGTGAAGTTGTCCGCCCCATTGTCCAGTGCTTCGTGAGAAGAAAAGCTAAATGACGCGCAGTGGAGAAGACTATTGAGCGAACTCAAATTTAGCCAAGCGTGAGTCGATATTTGTAGTTGAACAAGAATAAGTTACAAACATGTTATGAATAGGATAAGAAGTGCACACATATACGCTCACAGTATCAAAAATACTACCGTTCATTAAAAAAATTCTAGAAGTGGATTTCATTGGCGTTGAATGTTAATAAATAGCCAAAAAACCGAACATTATCTGTTGCATTTATTCAGAATTTCAAATAATCAAGAATAGTAATCGATACCTGAGGCTTATCCATTAACGGTAATTTTCATCATCAACATACGGTCTGAATTATTTATAACGATAATTTTTTTTAAAAAATTATACATAACGTCACGATATTTATGGGATAGTGTTAATTAGAATATGCTATAACGTAAGTATGTAGGCCAGTTAAAAGTAATAAATGTGAGGTAATTTGGAAGCATCATTCATAAAGTTACTTTGCTTAAAAGGTAAGTAAGTACCGCCATGTCGAGTATGTCTTCCTAAATGATTCATTACAATGTGAATGATAGAATTTAATCAAAATTAAGAACTAAAAGATATGATGTTAGCCATTACAAAGTGACTGATTGAAGTGAACACCTTAGTTTTCTATAGCAAATCAGTCTTAATCTATCTAAATCAATGGTAGCATTTCCCATAGTAACAATAGAAGATACCAATAGACCTTACTGACAAGTTCTAAGTGGTTAGTTTACTGTCCGCCGCTTCAGATTACTTAACACTAAACTATATGAATAAACTTTATCAGTGATCAAATGTATAATTATTAACAATCTTTCACCAATTGCTTAAATTTTCATTTCTTTACACATAATAACTAATCCACTATAAACCAATATTTAGTGTACCACTTACTGGGCTAGGAAACTGTTTAGTTATTTTTATCAAACTTTACTATTGTTTGATAATCTATTTCGCCAGATTTTCACTTTAAAATAATTCCATGTTAAGAACTATATAGTGTGGTTAATGATTTATCAGACTCAAAGAAAAGTAAATATTTGGTGTCAAAAACCTAATATTTTTTTATCTATTTCATATTACACTTACACGGTAGAATATCACTAAAACGATTTAATCGTTTATTTGTATTCCTTTGTCCAATTTCTTGACTCAACATATCTGATTGTATTAGAAATTGACTGTTACTGATTATTAACTATACAATGAATATAAAAAGAAAATTTATTTTGATGCTAATGCATAAATATTCACTAGAATAGCTATAATTCAGAATCCATGCTGAAACACATCCATACCCTGATGATATATGCTGGTTGTCAAAGCAGTAAGTTGAAACAGGGATGGAGGTAAACAAGCTAACACATGATATCAGTTAAAGAAATCCTTGACTGTTAGTTCAAGTTGTGCGGTAGAGATATATATGTCAAAGCTGAAATTTATGAAGAAATAAAAATTAAGCTTCTGAGACCTTAAGTGACTAGACACGAGCCTATTATTATCAATTCATTAATTTCTTTCCTCGATGTTGTTAAATTCAAATTCCCACACCAATGGATATCAGTGGTTCCTTTTTGTTTCTAATTGGATATATTAGTCTAAAACCAAACTATAGATGGAAGACGTTAACGGATGCAGGGTATTAGTTAATGTTTGGTCTAATCACCCGAGGGACACAAGGCTTGCAAACAATCGAAGTTTGGCTGAGTTATCTGTCAGACACATCTGTATCCATGAGTCAGCTAGTATGCATATTCGTATCTAAGTTTTCCAATAAAGCCTCTTATGTTTTCCCTCATTACATAATTAACTGGTTGAGCTCACATATAGAAAGCCTATTTGTCAGTGGCAAAACAGACGACAACCCAACACAGATCTTTGTTTTATTGAGCTAGATTCATCTGGAAATCGTCAAACTGAACTATTACATATTTGTGATATGTCCTACGTCATCTATGACTACCGCAATATTGAATAATGATGAATATTATCCTGTAGTGCAGATAATGAAAATAAGCTTGATATGTATGTTCACGTGTGAAATGGTCGACATTGGAATTGTCAAACAAAAAATAGCCATCTTGACTACTTAATGAATTACATTTTGCAATGTTTACATAGTTAAATCAATGACCTTCAGCGTTTCTGTAACAAATAAAGTTGTCCTGTGAAGATTTTGATTAAATTACAAAAGCCAAAGAATATTTTAAAGCCAAAAAGGTTTGAATAGCATTTCAGTCCTAGTCTTGGATTTCTCAATAATGTACATTCACAACTTCACAGAGCAATCCCATTAAGCCTACTCAAGTCTCTTGGGTAACAGTGTAGGAACCCAATAACGATACTGAAAAGAACATTTTCCCAGGTAAAAATATCGTCAGTAACCCTTAAGAATGACGATGAATATTTCACCTTTTCTCCCTATCTGGTTTGTAGTCTAATACGATAGATTAGTGATTGAACGATTGAATATTTAACACTAAGTGGTAGGTTTAAATAAAAATCGATATATGTCGAGTTAATCCACCGAATAGCAGCACTAATGTTTATTCATTCATAAGTAACTTGAAACTGGACAAATGAGTATGTGGACAATGGGTTGCATTAATTAAGAAATCAGTAATTATTCATTTTCTTTCCACTGGTAGGATTGGCATCGATTTGTACTTTTTCTCTATTTGAAGATTTGTTCAATATGAACTAGAAACTGATACTGAATAATTAAAATTTTTTAAAAATCAATGAAGCAATAAGAAGAATAAAAATTTATTACGTACTTCATATTGTACTTTTAGTGTTGCGAATGAATCTTTTGAATAGTTTTCATATTGTGCCATAAACGTATTTGTAGTAACTGGTGTTGGCCTGCACAAAAGGTAGGCCGAAAGATAAACAGTACATCTAAATTACCAGGAGAATTTGGTTTTAATAATCAGAACGAGCTGATAATTATCTTGAAAAGATAACTGACGAATAGATGGTTGATCGATGAATGATATGTAGTGATACAATATGATCAAGAAATTACTAACTAACAAGTTGGATTTATTAAGTTAGCGCAATCACTAATAGTTCTCAGACTATTATCGGTTAGTCAGTCGATTATAGAAAATGTAGGACCTGGCACGAATATGTACGGTCTAAGTTGCCACTATTCCAATTGAAACGTCGTAAGATGAGCCTAAGAAGAGAGCCTTATCTAGGTGTCTTTACCAAGGTTCCAACTAATAACTTAAATTGAATGTTGGGTAAGTTGTTAATCATAAAAATAATCTAAGCCACTACTTCAGAAATTTATTTATTCTCTGAAAAAGTGACTTATAAGGAGTCACAAAAATTCAAGAATTTCACTTTTCATTGGGATATTACATATATATCATTACTTTTATCATTCTCAACTTTGTATCTCCGTTTCACATCGGTGAAACGTCTTTTCAAAGGATTCATATCGATAAATATGTTTAAATTCATTTGTAACATTTGATGCTGCAGTATTACAATTTGTAAGGAGTAGTTATTGTTTGTCTAATGAAATAAAATGAAATCACATTATTAACCTAGTTGTTCTTCATCGTTTTCAACATACCAAACATGACTTAATAATGAACAACATCAATTAAAGAGTAGAAAGCATAAAATGATACTAAACTCAAAGTCTATAATAAAGTAACATCAAAGCTATTTAATTAAATAGATATTTTATGTAAAGTCAAATAATTGGAGAGTAATATTAATCATCTACTTGAATCTTCATTAAATTTCATTCCTAGATAACCCTGCATAATCATCACTCTATTTACTAATATAGTTTTGTATAGAACACCGTGTTTTAAAGGAGGGTAATTTTCAACATAAAATGATTTTACCTAGGGAACCATTGACATTACAAGGAAGTGAAATAAATTTTTACTACTGATACTAGATGACAGTTATTCTGTATTGCAAATCAAATGAAATGATAAATTGTGACGGCTCAATAACTGAAAGATCCCATACTTATCACTAAATCTTAATTTTCAGATTCGATCCAATGTGAAGCAGTGGTTGTAAACTGCCAAATAGTCTTAAACTACAAAGAGACAATAGTCACATCATTTTTAATAGTACCACTGTGGTGTACTCTACTTATGCTGACAGATATAATTAGTATGTAACCGCAATCTGAGGATTGAAATGAACAGTACAGGAAGGAAATTGGGGAGCTATCGAAATAATAACAAAAGTAGAGGAATAATGGAGTATGTAAAGGAAAAGTCAATGATGTGCAAATAATGTATTTAATATATGATTTTCATATTTTACGAAGGCACTGAGTAATTTTGCATTAAACGGCAAATTGGTTTTCCCCACCAAGCCTTTGTTTAATATAGCAGGATATAATATTTTTCTTGTAAATGTATTATCAATAGATTAGATTTTAAAAGTTATCGTTCACCACACCACAACCAATGTCAGTTCAAGATAAAAATTACATTAAAAAATGTACAACTCCAAACTTTATTATTATGGATATAGTTTTATTTAAACCGGAGTTTAGTTTGCTAAAACAAATAAGGTGCTCTCATATGATAGGAAGTAGTAACTAACACTGTATTTTAAATTTATTCAGAAGATAGATCCGACGTATTAAACAAGTGAGTCATTGATTTTCTTTCCAAATCTATTCCATTGGATTATACTCCTTAAATAACATCATCAAACCCTAATGCTCCCTACCACTACTTATACTTTCACTACCTCTACCACTACGGGATTTGAATCGATAACTGAATCTCTGTGCTAATGTGGTATGGCAACTTGAACTGGTGTACGTACGAAGAAGTTCCACGTTGTTACTGACTGACTGACTGATTCTACAATTGCTGATATCCAGGACTGAAGAGACCGGTTTCTATCATACCAGAGGTTTCTCGAATGGATGCTACGATGCTGTTTAATTTTACAAGCTGCTTATTTTCTACACAATCGATGGCAGTGGAAACCAGGTTGTTACCTTCATTCCATTAGAGATACGTCATTTGAATGTACACGTCTTTCAATACTGTTATAACGTTCGGTATTACTTCGTCTAATGTTATAACGCTTAAATGATTATCTACACTAGATCCTTACCAGTGTCTATTCTACAGGACTTCAACACGATTCAGATCGAGAACACGTTATTAGCCTGGCCAGAACGTGATATATTTCCACAACCAAAACAGACACAATCTACAACAATGAACAATCAATAATAAGTGTGTGTCATAATAATAAGGATAAGGGAATGTATAACTTATCTGAAACCTGTCAGACTGTCTACATGTCTGACTAAGCAAACAACCAATCATGATCATTCTCGCCCACACATCAAATACTAATTCTCATATTTGAATACACGACCGGAATCAATCTCTTGAAGTGATAGAACGTTTGTAATTAGTCTTCTGAGTCACAAAAGGAAAAATCAAAGGATTTCTTCAAGACGCCTGACAAGGACTGATGAGGTAAAAGTAAATACTACTATTGAAAAAATGGAAACATATCTAAGTATTAATCAATATTATACTCGTTGAGTCAGTTGATTACAACCGTGACTCATTAGCCTAGTGGATAAGTCATTATCGTCTGAAGAGATAGTAACGAGCTTTAAATCTCACTGTGAACATCAATGCTAAGATTCAGGTAAATTTAACTATCCAGTCAAATTGGATAAAAAACTTGTCCAGGATATCATTAGGATCTACTAACCTAAAAATTGACGATCATCCTAATTATTACTTTGTTCTTGGTCTAATACATGAAAGAGAAGTAAAAGTACAAAACATATTCGAAATTCTAAGGAAAAAATATACCCGTTATATGAATAGGTTTACAGTTCATTATCAGGACTTATTGTTTCTATGTTAATGATGCATTAGATAAAACACATTGACGTTGTTATATCCGAGAGAAGATTAAATCACGAGTAACTTTTGAGACATTAATTGACTAATATTATCTACATATTCTTATGGTATAACTATTCAATAGTTCGATTATGTATATTTATATTCCCCTTAATATAAGCTTCATTTTGACCTATAATTTATCATTGTACGATTTACTGTCCCTAAATTATGCTCAGTTTATTAATCACTGTCTCCCACATTCACAGTCACTTTTTGGCTTATTTGTGTACACATGTTATTTTCTATTTTATGGTACGTTGTGGTCTGTCTGATTGATATTATAAACCGAGTATGTCTGAAATAAATGATTTGGTTCGATTCGATTCATATTACGGAAGCTGGTATTCTGTTCTGGACTCAAAAGGACAGGTTAGAAGGACATAGGACCCAATGAGGACGCTAGACTGCTCAGACCGGTCGAACGTCATTGGTCTTGTCATAGTGCGAAGATTTGTATAAGTCGTATTCTGATTGGTGGATAAGTCACGTGATCGAAAGCCGGACATTAAAATCATAACAGATGTTTTATAAACAAATGCTGATCCTTTATCAGCAGTATGATTGACTGAAGTAATTAGTAAATTCTAGTAATGATTATAACTACTAGTTAATATTTGATATGGAAATGATCCAGCTGGAACATTCAATCCGAAAAGTTTAACAGTTTAGGTTATCACTTCATTAGTAACGTCTATATTTCATTGAGTTTATAGATTCAAAACAAATTAGAAAGCGCTGATCGAATTTAAAACTTGAAAGAATATTCAGACATGGTTCGATCTTCTATAAATATTGATTAACGTAAATATATTTATATCCAGCTTACATACTGCGCATATCTTATGAGCTTAACTTCTTTACGATGATCCTGTACTAGCTAAATGATACTGTTTACAAATCATCTGACCGTCATACACTATACATGTAAACCTAAGGTCAAGGTATTTTTAAGATATGAGTATATTAAAAAGTAAATCCCCTAAAGTTCCATAACCAAAAAATAGTTGCATATGAACTTCAAAGAAGCTTATATTAGTTGTTTAAATTTATAAAACTGTATGCTATCATAAACTTCATCAATAAAAAAATAGGAGAAACTATATTTTTGGACAGTAGCTGGCTATATAACTCAGAACATGGGTTTCCTTCTATTTTGAAATAATCAGCTAAATATACTCAGCTTTGAGCCACACTAATTGTATGATGGATAGCAATACTACCCGGATGCTGATATCCCAGTAGGTGAACAGCGTTGCTAATCGGGGACTTACTAGTTGAAAGCTAAGTGCTTTAACCAATGAGCTACTACTGCTCTATCTGTGTAAAAGGGTACATACATCTAAAATGTCCATCTGAAACGGTGATAATGTTATCTACTTCTAATGGAGATTTAAAAGCTGAATAATAATTTGCATGCAATTTCTAAAATTTTTCAAAAAACGCCTCTCTGAACAATTATTCAGGTAAGTGAACCGCTTTGTGACAGTACGCTGCAGAATATCAAGAGAAGTGACAGGAGCCAAGTTTTATGGAGAATGTATCACGTCAGGCTGTTTCCCGAGCCTGTTTGTAAAACTTTTGCGTTCTTATAAACTTCCACCATCGATTAAAAACTTAAGACGCATCACCGAACCTCACATTGAGTCAACAAAATTACTGATTACGCGACTAAGGGCTGAGGCCAGTGCTTTTGGTAAAGCGGTTAACAATTTGAAAATCGTATGTCGGATAAAATTTATGAACTTCATTCGTAATCTTCAAATCAAGATCTGCAATGATTTCCATAAATCTCGATTGAAAACTCTGATAAAAGAACATTTATGTTTAGGGTTTCCGGAAAACCCTTCGAAGTTTATCTATAACTTATCAAATATGAAGCTTAATAATATAGAAACAGAAGCCTTGTCACTGGGACTCAAATTTCATATACCAAAAACAAATACGGACAGGATTGATACAGAAGCTCAATTCGAAAATCTGTTTGACCAGTTAAAAGATATGCAGCCAATGAATGAGAAAAAGAAAGGATGGTTCAAATCAAAGTTAGTTGATATTGCTATCCAATACTTCGTGTCATCGACACCAAAGTAGAATCTTCTATCCAAAGAACATATGACAGCCGTAGGAAACATCAAACAAAATAATGAGGTGACGATTTTACGACCGAATAAATGTTCAGGTGTCGTCCTAATGAATACAGCTGATTATGTCTCTAAGATAAAGCCAATCCTAGACGATTAACTAAGGTTCAAGGTAGATAAATCCAAAAAGATTTAACTGATTCAACAGAAAAACGAATCACATACATGCTTAGAGAACTTCTAAAAAGGAAAATGATCGGCAATTCTACTTATAATGATCTATAACCACGTGGTTCACGTCTACCTCATATGTATGGCTTATCAAAAGTTCTCAAACACGATGTTCCCCCTAGACCTATCCTATCAATGATCAACTACTCACCGTATCACAAAGTTGCACGCTGGCTAGCAGAAAAACTAGAACCGGTCCGTCGGAGATTAGCGAAATGTACGTTAAAAGATTCATTCCGGTTCGCTGATAAACTAAATCGTACGAATGTTGCCGATAAGTTCATGGTTTCTTTTGATGTAACATCCCTGTTCACTAATATACCACTTCTTGAGACTATTAATATAATTTGTCAGAACTATGATCTACCTTTACCAGTCCCAGAATTCAAAAAACTACTATTAATGTGCACAACAGACGTTCAATTTCAGTTTAATAACACCATATATCGTCAAATCGATGGCTTAGCAATGGGAAGTCCACTAGATCCAATTCTGGCAAATATTTTTATGGGGTATCTTGAAAACATGGTGTCTAAACGGTCGATTAGCGAAACGACGGAATATTCCAGATATGTTGATGACACGTTTATTGTCTATAACAATAAACAGCATGCAATCCGCCTGCCAAAACTCTTCAATAATGCTCATCCTAACATACAATTTACTATGGAACACGAACAGAATGACATGTTCCACTTTCTTGATGTTGCTAAAAAACGTAGGAGACACGGGACAGTCCAACGATCGGTTTATCGAAAAAGTACTTGGAATGGCCTTTACCTGAATTTTAATAGTTTTTGTCCACTCAGTTACAAGAAAGCATTAGTTAAAACACTATTTCATAGGGCAGAAAGGATATGTACCACTGACAAACTGGAAGAAGAATTGATAAACGTGGCAAAATGCCTGCGACACAACTCTTACCTACAAAAGTTTAATGACAAATATAAAAAACCTAAAGAAAACAATACTGAAGTAATTATGGTCAATAAAAAACCAATAACTATAAATCTTAAACTCCGCCTGGAGTCCCTTTCGGAGGGCTACTGCCGGTCCCAAGCCCGGATAAAGGAGGAGGGTTGGGCATGGGGTTAGCGTCCCCATCCCGTAGAAAACTAACTCGCTAAAAAAACGCTAACCAGAAAAAACAACTCAAACCATTTAAATTCTGCCCTGAGAGTTAGAAGGTCTTCATTTAGAAGAAATATAACGCCTCAGGGTGAAAGCCGAGTTCCTTCGGAAGCCACGAGACCGATGCCACTTCTAACAACCAGAGCAACAATTTTTATAGGTACATGGAACGTCCGGACAATGTGGGAGACCGGGAAGACCAGTCAAATAGCAACGGAAATGAGGAGATACAACTTGGCAGTACTGGGAATCAGCGAAACCCATTGGACCCAAGCTGGACAACAAAGGCTAAATACGGGAGAGATGCTGCTATACTCCGGTCACAAAGAGGAAAATGCTCCACACACTCAGGGAGTTGCTCTAATGCTGTTCAAAGTAGCACAAAATGCACTTGTAGGATGGGAATCTCACGGATCCAGAATCATCAAAGCATCATTCAAAACAAAGAAGGAGGGGATCACAATGAACATTATCCAGTGTTATGCACCCACCAATGATAGCAACGACGAAGTTAAAGATCAATTCTATGAGAGGTTGCAATCAATCATAGAGAAGTGCTCAAGAAAGGACCTCACCATTCAGATGGGAGATCTAAACGCCAAAGTCGGAATGGACAACACCGGATATGAAGATATCATGGGACTGCATGGACTGGGAGAGAGGAACGAAAACGGGGAAAGATTTGTAAATCTGTGTGCATTCAACAAATTGGTCATAGGCGGTACAATATTTCCACACAAACTTATACACAAAGCTACATGGATGTCACCGGACCACACCACATAGAACCAGATAGATCATATTTGCATCAATAAAAAGTTCCGAAGGACAATGGAAGATGTGAGAACCAGGAGAGGAGCGGACATAGCTTCAGATCATTACCTGGTTGTAGCCAAATTGAAACTGAAGCTAAAGAAGAACTGAACAACTTGACAAACAGCTCTGCAGAGATTCAATACAGCCTTCCTTCGAGATACCGACAAACTCAATGAATTCAAGGTAGCTCTCAACAACAGGTTCCAAGCCTTACAGGACCTACTGAAGGAAGAAGAAACTACTAAGGAGGATAGCTGGAAAGGCATCAAAGAAACATTAACTTCAACATGTGATGAGGTTCTGGGCCCCAAGAAGCATCATCACAAGGAATGGATCTCTATAGAAACACTGGACAGGATCAAAGAAAGAAAGAACAAGAAGACAGCAATTAACAACAGTCGAACAAGAGCAGAGAAAGTCCAAGCACAAGCTGAGTACATAGAAGCAAACAAGAAAGTGAAGAAGAGCATTAGAGCTGACAAGCAAAAATACGTGGAAGAACTAGCAACGACGGCGGAAAAAACTGCAAGAGAAGGAAATATGAGACAGCTTTACGATACGACGAATAAGCTAGCAGGGAAATACAGTAAACCAGAGAGACCAGTCAAAGACAAAGAAGGAAGACCAATCACTGAGATTCAACAACAGTGGAACAGATGGGCAGAGTACTTCGAGGAACTCCTGAATAGGTCGGCTCCAATGAATCCACCGGACATCGAAGCAGCACACACAGATCTTCCTATAAATGTCAATCCACCAACGACCGAAGAAATCAGGATGGCCATCAGACAAATCAAGAGCGGGAAAGCAGCAGGACCTGACAATATACCAGCTGAAGCGTTGAAGTCAGACATCGAAGTAACTACAAGCATGCTTCATCTTCTATTCAAGAAGATTTGGGAGGAGGAACAAGTGCCGATGGACTGGAAGGAAGGACACCTCATCAAGATTTCAAAGAAAGGAGATCTGAGCAAGTGTGAAAACTACAGAGGCATTACACTACTGTCAATACCAGGAAAAGTCTTCAACAGAGTGTTACTGAACAGGATGAAAGACACAGTAGACGCTCAACGTCGAGATCAACAAGCTGGATTCCGTAAAGACCGGTCGTGCACAGACCAAATTGCGACACTACGGATCATCGTCGAACAATCAATCGAATGGAACTCGTCATTGTACATCAACTTCATTGATTATAAGAAGGCATTTGACAGTGTAGATAGAACGTTATGGAAAATTCTTCGACACTATGGAGTTCCTGAGAAGATTGTCAACATTATCCGGAACTCATACGACGAACTACAGTGCAAAGTAGTGCATGGAGGACAGCTGACTGAGGCATTCCAAGTAAGGACCGGAGTAAGACAAGGCGAGGATTGGCAAAGCTAGAGCGGCATTCCTTCAACTGAAGAACATATGGAACTCAAAACAACTTTCAACCAATATCAAAGTCAGAATCTTCAATACCAACGTCAAGGCAGTTCTACTACAACAACCATCATCAAGAAGGTACAGGTATTTATCAATAGTTGTCTACGCATGATACTCAACGTTCATTGGCCGGATACCATCAGCAACAGCCTTTTGTGGGAGAGAACCAACCAGCTTCCAGCTGAAGAGGAAATTAGGAAAAGACGATGGAAATGGATAGGACATACATTGAGGAAATCATCAAACTGCATTACGAGACAAGCGCTAACTTGGAATCCTGAAGGGAAGAGGAAAAGAGGAAGGCCAAAGAACACATTACGTCGGTAAATAGAAGCAGATATGAAAAGGATGAATAAGAACTGGAAAGAGCTTGAAAGGATTGCCCAGGACAGGGTTGGATGGAGAATGCTGGTGAGCGGCCTATGCTCCTTCACGAGGAGTAACAGGCGTAAGTAAGTAATAAATCTTAACTTCAAAGGTGATGATGTTACAAACACAATCAACAAGAGATTGAATACTGCGCTAGCCAGAACTTATCCGGCGGCCAAACTTCTAATTCTGTATAAAACAACATGTTAAATAACTCAATCAAAGGTTGATAAGTAACCTTTTCATGTTACGGCCAATTTACGTGTACCTGACAAAGCAGTTACATTGGTCGAACAGAAAGGAGGGCATATCTTAGATTTTTTGAACATGTTCCAAAAGGCCTCAGAACAAGAGAAATAAAAACTCTAAACAGTGCAATCACCAAACATCTCCCTGAAACAGTACATCAGGTCGATACCCTACAATCATTCAAGGTGACCAGTAAGCAGCTAAACTCCAATTTTCTGAAGTTTGCTGAAGCCATTGCTATCAGACGTCGAAAACCTGATTTATGTGTTCAAAAGGAGGTGGTTATCAATCTTTCCTTCCCTTGGTGACTAATATTCCTTCGCTGTATCTTAATATAGTTTTTTTCTTTAAACTCTTTCTTGCATTTATCACATCATTGAGTTTTATTCCAACTATCTTCCAAATTAATAATTTTATTTTATCAACTGAACTCTACTCCTTTTATTCCTATCGATGTTTACTTGTTTCTAGCCATTTGAACTGTTGTCACAATCAATGTTGTAGAATGTTCTTTTACATAACGTATATATTTCCAATATTCAGTCTATTAAATTTATTTACACCCTTGCTTTACTATACTAATATGTCTTCAATATATCTTCCAACTAAACCCTCTCATGTAAGTAATTTAAACCCATTATGTAATTATGATTTTAAATATCACAGGTTGTAAGCAGCTGACGAGAACCAACGAAATCAAAATGAATTCATGCTATTCTGCTAGAATGTTTATTCTTGCTCTTTTCAAAGTTAGTTCAAACCTATTAATAATACTTCAATCTCTGCCCACTAGTCTTGTACATAATAACAGATAGAATTCAAAAACGTTACACAAACAAACTGAAGTGTGAAAACAGTGGACGTTAACAATAATCCGATACCTAAATACGTACTCAACTTGAAAATATGACAAATACATATTTCAACCCCTACTTGTTGCCGATTATTGCATCTGTATTTTTTCCAACTATTTAGAGACAAAGCACGATGAAGTTAGCAAACCTGAGAAGGGACTTGTTTTGAGATAACGATATCTGTCGAGAATTTTTCAAAAAAGCGAAGCACGAAATAAATTTTGTATCTAGATAATGTATTTGACTTCATTTGTTTCTGCTAAACATAAATGGGGGGTGCACTAATGATATAAATGAAATACATTGAAAATAAATAAAAACTAGTACACGCATTATTTAAATGTTGAGACAATTTTAATCTTAAAATTTGTGCCCAGATAAACATTTCATTGGTTATTTCTTTCTTTTATGAAGAGTAGTTTAATGATTCATTGAGCTACACGTTTTAACCATGATAAAGTTCTATGAATAGCGAACAACAGATGTATACAAATTTATTACCAAATTTGAGGTAATACAATAGGAATACCACACGACATTGGATTTAGCGTTGGGTTTAACATTTTCAATAACAGCTCACATTGTTTAAATCAATAATTATCATCAGTTTTTCTGATGTTTGCATAATCCATACTGACAATTATCACGTGCTCACTAGTGACTAGCTTCGAGAGAAAATTTACGGAGTCCCAGTGAGAAGCTATGATCAGTGGAGCTAAGCGGTGTAGGGTGTAAGGAAGACACCCATGGAATAAAATGGAAGATTGTAAAACAATATAGTGGATTGATTGAAGTTAGACTTTTACAGCATTATATTGCAGCCTGATTGTCTAGAATCTAAGGATTCGCGGAAGAAGGCCCTGGGTTCGATCACAGGTTATAGGGTCATAAATGCGCATTGTTGAGTGGAATCATACTAGGAAGAAGTGGTCATCCATTCGTCTCAGGCTTTCAGTAGCTGTCTAACTTTATTCGTTTCACGATTTCAATAAAATTCAACCATTTCCATAACCCATACTGTAAACTATGTTTATCTGTTAAAAACACAAAAATATTACGATCAAAGAATTATGGTATAACTTTGCTTACCATTCCATAGATGTACATAAATTTGGAAGGTGAGTTCTGAACAGAAATAGGACAAACAAAAAGATTGTCAATAACAAGACACATTAATTAACAGCATCAATTTTTCCTACTAATATCATTAGTGATGGTAATATGTAAAAATTTAATTCTTAACCAACAATAAAATTATTTACCAATGACGCATTATCCTTTTTATTTAGTAGTAAGTAATGTATAGTGAAGTAAATAAAAAAATATATTATTAATCAAATTAGACACCAGCGAAATCGTTTTCTACGATATCATTTTCTTAGGCTCCTCAATCGTATTCCGACGTACTTTTTATACATAGTATTTAACAGTAAAATAGGAAAGTGTTACACATATACAAAAAATAATCGAACTTCAGTATGGCGTTGCAGTGACTGATGAATTTCACTGAAACCATGAAACGATCTAATTTAGACCACCACTAGAAACACTGGACAGCCATTTGGTGCTAGTTTGGGGATCCGAAGCAGTGAACATTCACGATCCCGCAGGGGAGACTCCAGCCCAGAGTGTCCACTGAATTTCATTCAAACCACCATCACTTGTTTATCCTGAGTACATTATTGAGGACAAAGAATGAGATTAAAGTTCTCCTTCTATCCAGCGGCATTCAACTGTGCAAGTTCGTATACTATCGTTTCACTATCTTCGAGAATTTTTGAAACATTATATAAACAGGATGTACCAGACGGCTCAGTGGTCTAAAGGTTAGGCGTCCAGACTCGCCACAATATGTCTAGGGTCCGATCACCGGTAGTTCGTGGATGCATATTACTCAGAAGTTCGAAATTAGAATAAAAATGCCATCTAGTTCTAGGAAATAAACAAATATCCATAAAAACCCTATACTAATAAGAATAATATTTATCAAGTGGTAGAAGATTAATTAAAGTACAAGTCCAAAGAGGTAAGTAACAGTCCTTCTAATACTAACGTAATACTGAATTGCAAATTAATGGATGTGCGATTTCTATATGGAATCGTATTGGAACCCGACAGAAAGAATTTGATTTTCTTTAAAAGTCATATATAAAGATCTTAGTAATTACCCAGTGATTACTAAACGCTGTTAATATAATTTTCGAACGAACTTCGAGCGACGCTAAAATGACCCTGAGATGTCTACCAGTTTATTAGGGCTAGAACAAGGTTACACAACATTGTCAGGAATTAAGACCATAATTTACGATTGATGGTTAGGGTACGAAAATAGATTGAAAGTCTTTATCATGAACTGGCATCCACTGAAATGCCAAAACACCATTTGGCCAAATGGATGAATAAATTTCGCTAAAAAATCCAAAACCATCATTTTAAATCTGATTGGTTCGGCCATAAATCATAGTCTCGCCTAATTAACCAAGAAAATTTTAGCTTTACGAGATTAGCTGCGCTCTGAATACTTTAGTGAAAATGTCTTTGACTATGATGTTGGGCGATAGTGATACATTTTCCACGGGGACACACTTACTTGTGTACCGTAGATACGATTTAAATCGCGTCCAGTAGATTCTGTCTATTACCTTTAGTCACCGAATCTATAACAACTGCTTTGACGTGACTGTGCACGTCTAAGTATTAAGTATTTCTGATTTTATCTTAAAATTCAACACCTCAATGTAAACTAATTGTTTGAGTGTATCCAAAATTACTTACATGAATAACAATCTATTACTCATGAGTAGCACATCTGACATTAATAAATCATATATATTGAATATTTTATTAATAGAGATGGTTTAACTAAAGATACACCAATGATGTAAAAATATTATCCTGTACAGTAGCTATTAAGGTTGTATAATTATCACTTTGTTGAATCAATATACTGTGTGTTATATGCAAACATTTTAGAATTCCACACTGCATATGATGAATGGATTAGATATATATTAACTCAAATTACAAAATAATCAAACTGACCGAAGAGAGCGATCGATAATAATCGTCGTATTAAATATAAATAGCTACACTCAGTGTTAGCTGTGATGGTTCATGTAGAAAAATTTATCATAAAAATAGTTTTTGTTACAGACTAGCATTAACTGTGGCATTAATGAGAAACACAGACCACTGGTTATTTTGTTTTGGCTTGGGACTGCTAAACAATGTGAATTTACCAACCTACAGATTTTCTGATTTCGTAGTGCGTATGATACTTTAAGACGACTTTATAACGATTGAATGGTCCATTTTTTAATCCAGTGCAGAGTTGTGAGTACAAGCTAGAATGGAACAGCTATCTGATGTACTCTGGTTCTCATTAATGCTTCAAGTGACGCCAATCTTCTATCTTTGAATCGAAAATATTTTCGGAAAATGCAGAAATATAGCTATGAAATGATCATTTTTCTTTCGTTTATTTAAGAAAAAATAAAAAAAACTAACCGATCCATCATCTTCTGTGAACAAATATCTTCATTGATTATTGATTTATTATTGATTTTTCCCCTTGCGTTATTATCATAAATATCATTATTTTTGGTAATAGTGCTTTCAATAAGATGATAATATAATAAACCGAATGAGGATATAGCCAATATGAACAATGACCACAAGATACAACATGTGATCAAAATGATAGAAGCTAATAAGTAATACCATACATTTGAAATGAAAAAAAAACATTTATAAGGAAATAGATCAATAGTTAAAGTTTAACTATATAGTACCAAATATTTTTTTATTATAATGAACAATAAACCACGCCACTGATTCTATATCAACGATGGGAATGGTTTTTGTAGCTTAATAGTATTATCAGAGACATTTAAATAATTGTTACAATTAAAGCAATATGAATCTAGTTGCATTACTAATAAATTTTTGATTGGTCATACTTTCGAACATCAAACACAACATGTTGTCAAATGTGTTGATGAAATAACTGATGGAAAGATTAATTAACGTGCCTATACGACATGTACACACTATTATATCTGTTGTCTTATTTGTTTCACTATGTTATATAAAAAATATTGAAGATCATTTAAGTAGCTATATGGTAATAAGATTAAGAAGTAGATTATTAAAAATGGTTTTGATTGTGACAATTGGGTGATCAAGGTCTGATCTCCAGGATACACATAACCTTTCTTACGATTGAGGATAAATTTTGCTTACGAATGCCAAATGTCGTAAAAAGCTGATAAATGTGTCTGTCTGTTTAAAGCATACTTCACCAACATATTTCAATCAATATATTTTACAGTGTAACGACGAATTAACATACTTATAAAGTGATTATTTTATTACTGATATGCAAACGTACTGTCAGACAGTGTACGTCCATGAATTATTTTCGACGTGGTATATCCATATTCCGTGTAAGTACGTAATTGTATACTAACAAAAGAAAAGAAAACAACAATTAAGTATGCATGAGATGAATTGTGTACAAACTATTGATGATAGCCAAGAAGCAAAGAACAATTTATTTCTCTTGATTTAGGACTTCTTAACAAAATTTATTAATAAGTACACAAGAAATTGAACAAAATGCCATCAAATACGTAAGCAAGCGTACAAATAAAAATTATAATTTCTTCAATACAAAGGATTGAATTATCTGGCTACCTATCAAAATTGAATTGTCGCTTATGAAATGTAGTTTAGTTGTGGACATGGTCCTCCTTTGTTGTTTGCCTAGACGAAGAAAGAGTTGACCGATGATGTCAAATAAATTTTAAACTATTACTGAAATCATAAGAAATACTACACATACACGAATTTTTGATATGGACTGTGCTCAAGCCGAAATATCAATACCGAATATCACCTCAAGTTTGAAAATTTAACATAACAACGCCAGAACTTCAAGAACGACTTCTTGTTACAGGGAACATTAATTGTCCACGAGTTCAGATATTATTAAACTTGTTTATAGACAGGACGTGCCAAAGTCTTGATACACACAGGAGTTTCCTTTGCGAAATAACAGTCAATTAAACTGTAACCATAATTCATAATAAAGTTAAACGACTTTACACATGGTGTTAGGAATTATATTTAATAAATTATTCGCTGGACGTTGACTGCTTTTCTTTATATTTGCAGCAATACAGAGAGATAGACCTGTATAGCTGATGGGAATAGGTGCTTATAATATTTTTATCTCCAATGCTTTTGGGTTTCGTAATGCAAGTGTATAATGCAATCCTCTTGCAGTCAACTGTATGTTTACGGGGCTCTTCTTTGGGATCAAATCTCTCGTGTATCAGATTACCTTACATGACAAGCTGGTAATGTATTCTAAAGATACTACACTAGCATGGTCTTAATCATCTTATTTTAAGTTCAACTTGTTCGGGTACTGCTTGGCAATGGAACTTGATAGATAGTCTATCATCCACGTAATACTTAGTACTAATTTTTTTACCATCTCGAAACTGTCAGTGGACGAAATATACTTAGCGTACTTACTGCATATATTTCATTAGTGCCTTCAATTGGAAATTAGAGTTGTTAGATTAACACAAAAAAGATTAGAAGCCATCATCATTTGAATGGTATTCCAAAGTGGTTAATTCTTCAGTATCCAGGACCATGTGGAACTAATTAGAATGGTAAGACTATGAAACCAGAAGCTATGTCTTTCATTACTGAAGATTAGCCAACTACATTTAGATTCACTTGTACGATAATGCATGCAGTTTCCTTGATATATCAAGTTTTTTTTTAAAAATTAATCATTAAGCCTCGTGATTTTACTATATCTCTTGGTCTGGTATATAAATTACCCTACTCTATAGAGGAATGGACTGAATGTTTAAACATCGTTGTTACAAACGTAACCTCCATTCGAAAATGGCTTGCCCTTATTTCAAATGTTTGTTAACACTATCATACATTTGTGTCCTGTGCTAACAATTTACGCTTCCGAATATAGTACTGTGAATAATGCTATTCTTTCCTGTCTCAATAACTAACGTATAACGATTGTTCAGGTTACTAACTTAATTACGCTTACTACCCCACGTGGAGAAGCATAGGCCACCAACTAGCACTCTCCATCCAACCGTGTCCTGGGCAATCCTTTCCACCTCTTTCCAGTTGCTGTTCATCGTTTTCATGTCTGCTTCCAATTCTCGGAGCAGTGTGTTCCTTGGCCCTCCTCTTTTCCGTTTCGCTTCAGGATTCTGAGTTAGCGCTTGCCTCGTAGTGCAATTTGACGATTTTCGCAACACATGGCCTACTCAACACCAGCGTCTTTTCCTAGTTTCTTCTTCATCTGGAAGCCGGTTTGTTCCTTGCCTGAGTAAGTTATTGCTGATTGTGTCTGACCAACGGATCTAGAGTATCATGTGTAAACAGTTCCTTATAAATGTCTATACATTTTTGATGATGGTTGTAGTAGTTCTCTAAGTTTCAGCTCCGTACAACAAAACTGTCTTGACGTTTGTGTTGAAAATTCTGACTCCGTTGTTGGCTGACAATTATTTTGAGTTCCATGTGTTCTTCAATTGCAGGAATGATGAACCCTATTTTCCCAATCAGTGCCATCACATCTGCATCAGATCTTCCGTTCCTATCAATGATGCTGACCAGGAATGTAAGTTTTCACCTCTTCCACGGCTTCTTCATCAAGTATGATTCCGTTGGTACTCGCCGTGCTGTATTTCGGGGTCTCTCATGTTCCCTTGTGTATGTTGACGCCTACTGATGCATAGGCTTCTGCTACGCTGGTTGTCTTGATCTGCATTTGTTCGCGTGAATGGGATAGAAAAGCCAGATCATCTGTAAAGTCGAGATCGTCTAGTTGCATCCAAGCTGTTCATTGTATTCCGTGATTTCTTTCAGATGTAGAGGTCTTCATAATCCCACCAACTATTCGAACAAAAGAGAGAGTAAGTAGTCTTGCCTAACATCGATCTTCACTAGGAATGCATTTATCAGTCGACCTCCACACACGACTTAGCCGTGGGGTCTGTCGTATGAATTCCGGATGATGTTGACTATCTTCTCAAGTACACCATAGTGTCGAACAAGTTTCCATAAGGTTCTCCTATCCACACTGGCAAACGCCTTCTCATAGTCAATGAAGTTGATGTACAGTGACGAGTTCCACTGAATTGATTGTTCGACGATGATCCTTAGTGTCACAATTCGGACTGTGCACGACCAGCCCGTACAGAATCCAACCTGTGGATCTCGAAGTTGGGCGTCTACTGAATCGTTCATCCAGTTCAGTAACACTCTGTTGAAAACTTTTCTTGGTACCGACAGTAGTGTGATGCATCTGTAGTTTTCATATTTTCTCAGATCTCCGTTCTTTTCTTCCTTGATGAGATATTCTTCTTTCCAGTCTATCAGCACTTGTTCCTCCTCCCAAGTCTTTCTGAATAGAATGTGGGGTATCGTTGCAGTTGCTTCTATGTCTGACTTCAGTGCTTCAGCTGGTATGTTGCCAGGTTCTGCTGCTTTACCACTCTCGATTTGTATGATGGTCATCCTGATTCTTTCGAGTGACATTGATAGGAATGTCTGTAGGTGTTGCTTTGATGTCCGGTGGTGATCTGAAGCTATATCGGCTCCTCTTCTAGTTCTCAAGTCTTCATTGATACAAGTGTGATCGATCTGGCTCTCCGTGGTGTGACCCGGTAAGACCCATGTTGCTTTGTGAGGGAATATTGTACCGCCTACAACCAACTTATTGAATGCACATAGGTTTGCAAATCTCTCACTATTCTCGTTTCGCTCTCCTAGTCCATGTCATCTCATGATATCTTCGTATCCCATGTTTTCCATTCCGACTTTGGCGTTCAGGTCTCCATTCAGGATGGTTAGATCTTTTCCTGGGCACTTCGCTGTGATCGATTGCAGCCTCTCATAGAACTGTTCTTTATTGTCGTCGTTACTATCATTGGTTGATGCATAACATTGGATAACATTCCTTGTGATTCCTTTCTTTTTTGTTTTGAATGATGTTTTGATGATCCCGGATTCTTTAAACATCCATCATATAAGTGCTTTACGTGCCTCTTTGGACAGCATCAGAGCAACTACCTTAGTGTGTGGAGGATTTTTTCTTCGTGATCGGAGTCCAGTAGCCTCTCTTCTGTATCTAGCTTTCGCTGTCCAACTTGGTTCCGATAGTTTTCACTGATTCTGAGAAACCCCAAGTTGTATCTCCTCATATCCATTGCTTTCTGACTGATCCTCCCGATCTTCCATATTGTCGGGACATTCCGTGTACCTATATTAATTGTTGCTCCGGTTGTTAGAAGGGAGCTCGGCCTCATGACCTCCAAAGAATATCGGCTTTCATCATGAGGGTTCATAATTCTTCTGAATGAAGATCCTTCAACTCCCAGGGTTGAGTTTAAATTGTTTATTTTGGTTGGTGTTTGTTTAGGAAGGTTGTTTACTACGAGATGAGGTTGTTGACCCTATTCTCAACCCTGTTCATTTACCTGGGTTTGCGACGGGCAGTAACTCTAGAAGAGCTCCAGGTGGAGTTATTAGTTAGGAAGTTTGAGATTTATTAAGGTTGACCCCAATAATAAATAATAGTTGTCTTTTCGGTAACTTCATTTTCAAAGCTGTACAATCCCCAAAATATATACTTATTTTTCAGGATGACAACAATTACAGTAATAGTGACAATAAACGTCTGTTAGACATGGTACCAGTGAAGTAGAAAAAAAGATATTAAAAAACTTTTCCGTTATTCCGCAATACCTATAACAAATGTATAATTAGAAGACTTATCTTTGGAGACAAAATTCTGTAACATAAATGAAAAAAATATTAAAATTCACGCATGTTCAATTTGAAAATTTAATCAAATAAACAAATGGTGTTAGTCTAGTCTCTGACCAAGAATTCTAACGTTTCAAATCTACTCTTCCAGATATTAGCACGAAAGCAACAGGTAAGGCTTCTGACGAAATAACATATAAATCAACTAAAACTATTTAAAAATAATAAAGACTCGATTATAAAACGTCCAGATGAAAGTGCAGGTTTATTGCTATTAGACCACAAGATTTATTTCGAAAAAATGACAAAGTTACATTCAACAACGTAATTCATAAACAAAAGGATGGCATAGTAATAGGATCCCTTCTTGGTCCATTCCTAGAAGATTGCTTCATGGCCAGTCTAGAAAAAAACCAACATAAAACGACCATCAAAAACTTCCACTTATGTAAAAGGTACGTAGATACTATTTTTATCATTTGTGACAACAAATATGATTTAAGTCATCTTCTTAAGACATTTAATAACTGTCTTCCGCTGATGAATTTCACACTTGAAGTTGAGACCAAACTAAGTATTCACTTTCTTGATGTGGAAATGACAAGAAAACAAGACGGAATTCTAAGAAGATCTGTCTACAGGAA